GAACTCAGTTTCATGTCCTGCAAGGTTCATGTCATGCAAGTACATGTCCTGTGCACATTCCACTTGGTAACTTGGATGCGTTTAAAGACCTACCCAACATCATCTGTGAAACTCTTCAGCACAAAAGACATGGTCTTCAATACCGTAAAAGAGAAGTTAATGCCCGAGTTGTAGAAGTGCTTTACAGGTTTCCTATAATATTCTCCTATAAATATTCTGTCTTTCAGTATTTTATCCAAGAACAGCCATTCCTTTCTCAGGGATTAGTCTGTCCCTAATTCTGCAGTGTTTGGCTTCTGTGGAATTAGCTGTACTTCCTTTTTTTGCTTTGTGAAGTAGCACACCAAGGGCACTACAGGAAAAGCAACCCCAAAAAAGGTATCTGCCAATAGTTCCCCCTCTTGCAATCCATCCTGCTAGCATTTAAAGATCAAGGGTTTATTTCTTAAATTGTTCCTGGCACAATTAGTTATGTTCATAAAAATTAACAGGAAGGCATTAGCTATTGGGAAGTGTTGGAAAATGTTTTTTTCAATGATATTTTATCCTTTGTCTCCCATGCAGAGTATACCAGCATTAAAAATTAAGAATTTTTATGTGTTTTAAGTCCTTTTTTTCCTTCTCATTTTAAACTAACTTCTTAAGTTAGTTTGCTTGAAAAATCAACTGCATTTCTCAGCAGTCCAGTCCTTCTGGGATTCTCTTTTTCTCTTTCCATTGTGGCAGTCTTAGGTTTCATTTAAAGATCAAGAATCTTAAAAAAAAAAAAAAAAAAAAAGAACATTCCTGACATTTGTGACAAGATGAACTGGCGTCATGGCATCACTGGTAGCAGTGTTGACACAAGTCTCTCCAAGATCCTGATCGTCCTACTCACGCAGTTGCAATTTTTTTAGCTTATATGTTCAGGTTCACACCCTATTTATACACACGTGCACCTATACTCACAACAACAAACAAGCAGGCGACAGAAAGAACAGGATAGCCTCAATCTTTTACAGCTTGCTTCTTCACCATCACCACCAGGTTCCCACAGGGGCAAACCATTATTGCTGCAGTTCTACCCTTAAATTAAATTAACATGCGCTTCCAAATGCAGAACTCTCCTTGAGGAGGAAGCATGTACAAAGATGAAACAACACAAATATACATTATTGTAGAATTCTCAAAGGCAGATGTGTGTAAAAAAATCTCCTTGTTCTACCAACATTGGACAGCTCTGGAATCTTTCCAAACACAACACTTAGCCAAAGAGAATATTCTAAAATAGAGTTCTAAAACAATTAAAGAAAAGCAGATACTTTGGAAAGGTACTATTTGCTTTGCACTCCATACTCCTTGCCTTCTCAACTAAACACACAATACAGATGTCTGACTGTTAAAGGCACTGTCCAATAGGGACATTTAGCTTCTTCCCATAGTCTGTAAAGGATACTTTCAGAGACTTTGGAGATGTCTTTTTGATTGTAACATGAATATGTTGTTGCAGTGACCTCAGTAATGATATGTCCTTTGTTGAACTGTGCTCCTTTCAGTCCAGTTGATATGTACATACTTGTATTTCTGAACTTCAGCTGCAGAACAATACTTTGGGTCACAAATTTGCAAAACAACCTGGTTTGGAATGGAAAAAAATAAAGAAAAAAGAAGAAGAAATACCCTATTCTGGAGATTATCAAAGCAAAGAATATGGTGAAAAAAAAAGGCATATGTACCCAAGTAAAGACTTAAGTTTCGGGATCTTGTCACTTTGAACAAATATAGAAATGCACCAAGTGACAGCCTGAGCCCTACCAACCCACATCCTCAATTATAATTAGAGTTCACAGAATCATAGAATCCTCAGAGTTGGAAGATACCCTTAAAGGTCATCTAGTCCAACTCCTCTGCAATGAACAGTACAGCTACATCAGGTTGCTCAGAGCCCCGTCCCCTTGTTCTATCACCACAGACCCCACTGAAAAGTCTGTCCCCTTCTCTACTGTAGCTCCACTTTAAAAACTAAAAGACTGCTCTCAGGTTACCTTCTCTTCTCCAGGCTGAACAGCATAGATCCATTCAGGGCTCTCCAGACCAACCTTTGCACCTCTCAGATGCAGAACTTGCCCTGCTCTTAACACAGCTCCCTCCAGCACTATTTAGATCAGAACCATGCAAATATTCATCTTGATTTGCCTGACTGTCGTAGAAATATTTTTTGCCAGTACAACCAAGTATTCAGCACTGTGATGCGGGGTGTCTTCACTAGGAATAAGTTTGTTTTGCATAAATTCTCCTCCTAGGCCTTCTCAGGAAGTTACTGTAGCCCAACTAATGGAGAAGCTGAAGGTTATTCATGTCTGAATGAGTGAAACAAAACAAAAAAATTAGACCCATCTCTGGCACCACCCTTTTCCCATTGTTTACTTCATTTGACCCAAGATTCATTGTCAAGTTTTGTCATGGTTTTGTGATTTTTGGTTTTCAGCATTTCACATCATAACATCATGTGGGGCACTGGGAGATGAACTGTTAATGCTCAAGTCCTGGGTACCTGCCCAGAAGAGAAGAACTACATTCCCCAGGGGACTTTGCAGTCACAGAGAGGAGATATAACTCCTGACAAGGTCACCTGATGTGCTCTTCTTTGTCCACTCTTCTTCGTCGGCTCTCCTCCTGTCTCGCTGCTGCTCAACTGGACTGCGCATCTCACCTCAGCGTTATGGTGAGGCCTATCCACCTTTCAGACATTCTCTATTATATTTGATTTATTAGTTTCAATTCTAATTATATTGTATTATGGTGTGTTATCTTGCATTCCAATACTATACTTAGTAAATTATTTTGTTTCTCCTCAGATTGCTGCTGTTTTTAATCATTTTAGGGTCTCCTGTTCCCTTTTCTGGAGGCATGGATTTTGCGAAATCCCTCCCCCCCACGAGTCACGGAACTGGGCCAAATCAGCCTGTAAAATGTTGACAAGTTTCATTTATTTTTTGCACTTTTGTAACCATCTCTTGCTGAGGTCCAGGTGCTCTTCCTTAGACAGTAAAGACAATCAATTCTCATATCAGTGTTGAAACTTAAACTTCAAAAAACTTAAATACTGAGCAATACAGAGTGAAAAACGTAGCTTTCAGTGTGGCTCTGGATACCCCTGCTTATCTTTAACCCCTTTATGAGCCAAGGAAAGTTCCTGAAATTCTTGGAGGCCTTCTACATCAGGATACTGCCAGTCACCTCTGCACAGTAGCACAAGAAAGTTTCATCCTGTCCATACTCAAATTAACTGAAATGCTTCCATTGATTTGGAAGATGTATACTAGATCCAGTCACAGCTGTGTGTCACTTAGGCTGGCTGACTGCTTGTACTAGACAGCATTCCTTGGGTAGGCAGGGCAGGGCTCTCGTCTCCACTCATCTCATTCGTTTCACGGGCAGCCTGCAAAAACACCAGCAAGCCATTTGCAAATAGTTTGTCCAGGAAGGTCCAGCTCAAACGATGTAACATCACATCAGTAAGTAGTACAACAAGAGGAATGGTGTGCAGAGCCCTTGTTCTCCAGCCATAGCCTCTGCTCAGAGCCAAACCTTCTCTTCCTTTTCCTCTGCTTAGGAGCAAATCATGGGCAGCTCATGTATGCTCCACCTAAGCAAAGCAAGGACCACTCAGGTGGTTTTGGAAATTGCACACAGCAGACCATGTTGTAGAAGGACCACATCTTTGTCTCTTCTACAGGGAGAAAAAAGATTAAAAATGTGAGTTCTACAATCTGTTTTTTTTTTTTTTTTTTTTTTTTTTTTTTAAATACATTGTCTGTGCATGCAGCAATGCTGATAATAAAACGCATTAAAGGTGATGGTTTATGAAGTGTTTTGTTTGCGGACTTCTTAGAACCTGTGCAAAGACAAGGTGAATCCCTCTGTGTAACTTTTTCCCTTCTTACAGTGTCATTGCAAAAATTCTTGTTGATGTAAATATAAAGGCACAGTACCTGGTTCTCTCAATGCTGTTATTTGAAATCATAGTAGCCTTATCTACCTATATAGCCTTATCTCATATTTATTTCAAAGAATATTTTAAAAAGCCATTTAATTAGGTTATTTAATTATAATTTTTGAGTCCAACTCCTGACCTTGCTCAAAATAGACAAGAGGTACAATACTTGTTCTGTTTGTATTCATATGTATGCATTTCTGGAAGGTTTGTTCCAAAAAAACCTCTCACAACAGATACAAAATATCATTTAAAGATTGTAACGCAGTCTTGCAAGGATGCTATATAATACCATAGTCTGTTAAATACACCACAGTTTCAAATTATAGTACTAAGTAGCAATGCCCCAAAAATGGATTTAAAAACTTTGATTGAAGACCCAACAAATAGCTTCACACTCATCAGTAGGTGAGCAGATGGGTTCACCTGGCACAATTTTCTCCACTGGTGGCGCACAAAAGCAAAATGGCACTCCCTTCACTTAGTAGGTGGTGTATCCCAGGAGTTCAGATTAATCTCTGTGTCATAGTCTGCATTCAAATAAAAGCGCTTCCGTAGTGTGAAGCAGTTGAGAGTGCAGCCATACTTTATGGCCCTACAAGGAGCTGACATTAATTCTATCCTTTCTAGAAGCACGCATTGAGACGCAGAATCACAGAATGGCCCAAGATGGAAGGGACCTCAAGGATCATGAAGCTCCAACCCCCCCCCCCGCCACAGGCAGGGCCACGAACCTCCCCATTTAATACAAGACCAGGCTGCCCAGGGCCCCATCCAACTTGACCTTGATTGCCGAGGTTCGCTGCTTCGGAGCTGTCCCTGCCGGAACCGCAGCGACCGACCGCGCAGTACACGGGGGTTTCCCTCGGTTCCTTCATCCAGGGAACCCCGAGGTAACAGAGCAGCCCGGCAGCTCTCGCGAGAGTGGCTGACGTGAAGTGGGCGTTGCCAGGGCAACGGCTCTGCATCCACGCCCCCTGCCTAGAAAATGCCTCAGGGACGGAGAGGAGTCGTCAGGGTGTGTGGAGCACGTGGGCTGTTCGGAGGAAGTGGAACGGTAAGCCACCCGTTCACGGGACTACACAGGGGAGGAGGGTTGTTATCACTGCAGAAAGTGTTAAGTGCAGGTGCACCCTTTAACGGGCTGGTAACAGGGTGAGGGCGGTGCCAGTACTACCGGCAGCAGGGCAGGGCTGATCAGTCATGCCCCATTAGGGCTGCCCGAATAGTGCTGGTGAGTCTGCTGTTTTGCCATGGCTGCATCCCTGCAGAAGGCTACTGCCGGGAAAAAAATGTGGAGACCCAGACTGAGGTCCCAAAACAAGATGCCAGTGTGCAGGTCTCTGGCTGCAGTGAGTGCCAGAGCCTGGCCTTTGCAGTGCTGGGTGAGGGACACAGCACTTGTGTGAGGTGCGACCAGCTAAATGACTTACTCAGCCTTGTGGTTGATCTGAAGGAGGTGGAGAGGCTGAGGAGCATAAAGGAATGTGAGAGGGAGATTGATTGGTGGAGCCAAACCCTATTGACCCTGAGATCTTGGCAGCCAGCTGAGGCTGAACATGGAGCACATCACCCCCAGCTGCCTTGCTGACAGAGGTGACAGAGGGGAACCAGCATGCAATGATGCTGTTATAGTGAGCCCCCTGTCCTCTCCTCTCCCTAGCAACAAGGGTGAAGAATTGGGGCTGTGGGGCAGTGGCAAAAGACCCCTGCTCACCGATGCAGGCGCACCCTCCCAGAGATTCCCCTGCCTCCCCAGCTGCCCTTGTGGAACAGGTACAGTGCTCTGCAGGGACAACTGGACAGCGGTGGTGATGATGGTTGTCCCGACTTGGTACAGTGGTGTAACTCCCAGAAAGGCATCGAGGTGATATTCACTGGACAGTGTTGGACCCCCTGCCACTGCAGAGCAATGCAATTTGGGAGAAGAGGAAGAGTGGAAACGAGTACTGGGTTGGTGAAGTGGGCATCCCCCATGCCAGCCATCCTTGGTTCCCCAGGTGCCTCTGCAAAATAGGTTTAAGGCCCTGGAACTCAAGTGACAGGTGAGTGAGGGTGTGGAGGGAGGTCCACCTGTGAGGTTGCCTTGGGTGAAACAGTCGACTCCACAACTCGACTGCCTCCACACAGAAGGACAGAAGGGTGGTTGTCATATGTGGCTCCTTGCTGAGAGGAATGGAGGGTCCTGTATGTCTGCCTGGCCGAATCTATGGGGAGTTGTGCTGCCTCCCTGTGGAATGGGTCAGGGATATTTCTAGGAATCTTCCCAGTCTGACTCGCCCTTCTAACTATTACTCCTTATTGATAGTTCAGGCTGGCAGTGATGAAGTCACTGAGAAAAGCCTGAGGATGATCAAAAAAGTCTTCAGGGGACTTGGGCGGGTAGCTGATGGAACAGATGTGCATGTGTTTTTTTTTTGTTTGTTTGTTTGTTTTTCTTCTATACCTTCAGTGGCAGGGAAGGATACTGAGACACACCACATAAGCGGAAATTGGATTTTCTTACTGATTGTAAGGACTCGTTATTACTATCATATTTTTCATTAGCAGCATGAGAACACGTCACAGCAGCACTACATCAGTATTCAGTTCTATGTGTTGGTACTCTGAAATCATAAAATTTAAAGCCTCTGTCCCCTAGATTCACACAGAAGCAGTGGTGGGATCTGGGAAATAAGGCACGTAAGATGCAGCACAAATAAGATTTGCAGAAAATACTGAGAAGTCCTTCCTCTCCATCCTCTGTGGCCTGCTCTGCTCTGGCCATCTGGGACAACTGACTGCTTCCTCTCTTTCTGAGCAAGGTTCTGTGCCAAGGACAAGGTGGACAGGCAGGGTCTCTCCCATCTGTCCGTCTGTAATACACAGTGAAAAAATAGGCAGTGAAAGGAAAACAATGAAAAATGAAACAAGCTGACCTGGTGTTATCAGCCATGCAGCATCACTGCTGTTTCCAGAGGGTGGACATATCAGAGCTCATCTGAAGGCTCTTCAGCTGCAAAGCCAATGACCTCATTTGTCACCTCTCAATGCCTCCCTCCTGTGGACCTTGTGGATGATGTACATCTTCGTTTAACAAGACATTCAGCTTTGAATAAGGAGGAAAGGATTACTGATAGTGGTGTGAACTCAGAACTCACATAAGTCACCTTTATGGGAGAGCTCAGCTCTGATTAAAGCACACTGGAAAAAATGTGCCTCTCCAAGGAGCTCTCATTGTAAGGCTCCCTCTTAGGCTTTCCAGGCTAGATCATCCACAAAAGAAATGTGACTACAATGTTGAGTGTAGGAGCAGCTGAAAAAAATGGCAGTGTTTGTTCTTCAATGGGGAAGCAATAAGCCTTTGCTACTTACTTTAAAGGGATACAAATTCATTTGGTGAGACTAAAAATTCTATACTCTGTGTGACATAGGACATCAAAAGAAATGGCACAGCAAGTCTCTGCAGTCTTAAAAACCCATCATTAATAGTAGTGAAGTAGACCAGGGACAAGTAGAGCAGCACTAGATTATAAAAACTGATAGGGGGGGGTTCTTATTTTATTTTTAAAAATTTAATTTATTTTAAGGCACGGCATTTCTTCTTCTTAAAAAACACTAGTAATTTAAAAAACAAAAACAAAACAAAACTCACGTGGGTTTCTCTAAGTTCCAATGCAGGCAGAAAAATGAGGCTGAGAGCGCTATTTTGAGAATATTCTCAGACGTCGTTATCTTCAACAGGAGGTCAACAAAAATGGGAGTTTGCAAGATTGGGATCAGACCCTGATTTGTTCTATTTTGAAAGAAAATAGTTTCAAAGAAGAGAAACTTGCCTTTAGCTTTGGTGATAAGGAGTCAAAGGAGTTTCTCCAAACAAGTCTCGCTGTAGTCTTTTAAAGTTTCTGTACTTGTAATAGGAATGTCACACCTGAAGGAGCATTGTCCTATTTTGTAACCTGCCACGAGTCCTGGTGCCCAGCTGCAGGTTAAATGCATACAATGAGATTCTCTTTCCTCCCACTGCTGGTTCTGTCACTTAGTATATTCTGAAGTCTGCAAAAATACAGTATGACTCAGAATATGTAGGCTATGTCTAAGCAGAGAAAGTTCATTCAAAATTGATTTCCTTTCAGGTATCCCTGATATTCCCTGTTTCAATTGCTCACCTACTGTACAGCTGAGTGAACGCTTAAGGAAGCTGCAAAGCAATGCAGCCTGTCTGAGACATGAAGGAATGTAGAGCAGGATAATCACAACATCATCAACCCAATTCTCCAAGGTAGCTGGCCAATAATGCTGTTCTAATTGAATAACTTATCCACAGCAATTTCCCTCGGGAGAGCCTACGGCTTAGGCTCTCTGTGTAGGCAGATGGTGCAGCATACACAATGAAACCTGTAATTTTCTCTCACTACCGGACATGTTAACAGCGAGCTGGTTTTGCAGTTCTGTGAGCCTGTTAATATTTTATTTTAACTGTTTTCTTCAAGTTATTATGCGTCATGCAGTAGGGAAGGGAGAAATCTCTATTACATTCTCTATTTATTTTACAGGCAGCCCACTAAGCCACTCCATGCTCATTAAGGCTTCTGCTTTGCTAATCAGTGATTGTGTATGTCATCATCAGCTATATGCGGAAATGAAGGTGCCATAATTAAAAACAAAGGTGCATCAGTCACCAGAGCGCTGCCTTACCAACTAGCATCAAAGCATAGCAAATAGTCTTCAAGGTGGTTCTAGATCTGCAGGGCTGTTTTTTAAATCGTGCATAAATATGCATGTGCCAAACATATTTCTGATGCTGAGCATGCTGTCTTGGTCTTGCACTCTGAACCATGCATCTTTGCCATCCCCTCTTTCAGTGCTGATCAGCAGCACACGCAGCTGAAAGGCAAATGCAGCCTGGGAGAGCCATGCAGCAGAGACAGCCCATCATCAGCAGAACAGCATGACAGATGACAGACCCAGAGGCAAACCCAGGCCTGCCAGCAGATCAGCTTGTGGAGCTTGCCAAAGAGCCAGATGCAGCTACTGAAAAGATATCGTCCTTAGCTCAGCAGCTGGGTCTCGCCATGGCCAACCATGCTTCGTTCCTTACTGCTGACCCTAACTGCCTGGAGACAATGGAGTAAGGGGGGGGGGGGGGGCTTGATTACATCAACACCATGGCATTTAAATTTCACTAGCACAAACATCGAGACTATAAACGATGTCAATTTCTGCACAGCATAATTATCAATACTCACTTATTGCAGGTTTTCTGGTTGTATGAGTGCATTGTGTCCCTTCCCCCACTGTCTCTGAGAAAATACAGCTCAGGGACTGAGTCTTTGTTTGCCATTCCCACTCAGAAACACATTTAGCTACCACACACCAACTACTAGAAGCAGCAGTACACTGTAAATCTAACTAATTAAGCATTGCTGTAGAGATCCTGTCGTCCTCATCTCTGGAAAGGTGCAATTCTTTCAGAACACGGAGATGTCTAATTCGTGAATATATCCCAGGGCTTGGCTTGTAGGACTACACATCAAATAAATCTTTGTCAAGTGAGTGGTGTGACAATTAGGATGACAACTAATGATATGGCATCACAGCAAAGATAATTGCACCCATTGTGAGACACTTACCAGGTCAGGATACATGCACAGCCATTCAAAAGTGGCATTCATTCATTCACCCCAGCTTCCTGTTCTGACAGCAGTAGTGTACTAATAAAGTCATCATTTCTCCTTCTACAGAAGTTGGAGGATATTCTTTTTGGACCATCTTGCCCCCCCTGAAGTTCAGCACTGCTTTTCTGCATACTGGTAATTGGCTTAGTCAGGCAAGCAAAATGTTAATGCAGGTACTCAAAAGCATCCCACTGAGGACAAAGTAGGAGAGGGAAAGGTCCCGTTCTTTCATTTTCTCATCTATAATAGCTACCAAGAAATATCTTAAGCAAACATTTATAAATGCGTTCTTCATAAAATGGGAAGTATAGGACACTATTGATCTGGAATGGAAATTTCCTTAGTTTTGTTGAAGTCTATGTAGAGAAGCCAAACCATATTGTCCCTTTAGGTTCAAGGTAAGATTAATCTCACTTACCTTGGGCATCTAAGTCACACTGGGATCCCTTTTAAATCAATGGCGAAAGATAGGTACTTTCATAAGGCTATTCATCTCGTTCTAATGTAGGCATCAGAACGAGTCATCTGAAATGAATCCTTCTGTGTCTTTCCATTTATTATAAAGGAAGCCTATGGTGACTGGCTTTGAATTAAGTACCTATTTTTTGCTCTTATAAGATTGGCTGAGATTTTATATTCCACTCTTGTTGTTTCCGTGGCTAAAGAGGAATGTATACATGGAAAGTTTTTTTCTTTTTTTTTTTTTTTTTTTTATTTTCTTTTGAGCATAGCCTTTCATTTTAGATTCATATGTATTCCCATAATTAAGAAAGGATTACCAAATAAGCTAAGCCATAAAGCTACTTTTCTGTGTTAAACACTACAAAGCTTGAAATAGCGCAATTCCCAGTACACAGCCTTTGAGCCATTTGCAGTGAGAATATATAGTTCTCAGTGAATCATGCAAAGCTGGAAGATCACTCAACACTGATTCTTTCCTCTTTCCATTCATTTATTCAAAGAGATAAGAAGATCCCAGATGTATAAAGACAGCATGCACTGGGGATCCAGTCTGTTCAGATGCTGGCAATTCTTTTAGTAACTCCAGTGACTCCAGGGATGCTGAGCAAATGAGATACTGAAAAAGATAGCAGACGTGGTGCAAACCGTGCAGTCGCAGGGGACGCTGGCACAATAGTTCAGATGAAGATACAGTCCTCCAACTAATACTGTTTGATGGCTCTGTGAATAGTATAATAGGATAAACATTTTTACAGTCATCTCATTGTTTATTCAATATTTTGACTGACAAACATGTTACCAACTTTTTTTCTGGATTGTTTCCAAAATCTTAAGAAAACTGAATAAAAACTATTTTAAATGTCCTGCTTTAAATATTTTTAAATAAAATTTCATTTCAAAAATTAGATTATCCTTATAAAATATATTTAAGCTATGCAAATAAAGAAAAAAATTGAAGACATACATAATTCATTGCTACAATTATTTTGTCTTTTGCTTTTAGGTAGTTCAATATTCTATCACAAATTACCTTACATATTAACTTAAGTAAAACAAGTTCAGAATTGCCAGAAAATAGAAAAAGTGGCTATTCACTTGTCAGTACTGCTGTGGAATCATAGAATTGCTCAGGTTGGAAAAGACCTTAAAGATCATCAAGTCCAACCAAAACCTAACCGTACTGCCCTAACTCTAACAACCCTCCGCTAATCGTGATTTTGTCATGTAATAGGGAGAGCCTTGAGAACAGACATTTCTTCCCAGATGAGATAGAATAAGGCAGTGCAAGTTTTCTCACAGCAACCTGTTGGTTTTTTGAGGTCACCACTATGAAGGAAACAGGGTCACCAGCACATATCTATACTCATAGGTTTCTGAAGAGAAACAACTGTGTGAGTTAATCTCACTAATGTTGCTGCTGGTATTTTCTGTGCTGCTTGTACCTCACTGAGCTCTTTACAGAAAAGCTGGTAATGGTCATTGTTTCTTCCAATTTGATGCAAGCTGCAAAGAAAAGTCCTTTTTTATCTACCAAATGGTCACTTGGAGCAAACAAAACTTTTGTTGGCACCTATTACAGAAGTGTTATTTTGTTACATGAGCAAAACGAGTTATACTTCAGCAGCAATTTAAATGAATTCTCACACAAAGGAGAAAATGGATCTTTAAAACTATACATAGGTATTTTGAATGTATAAGTATGCCTTTAATAAGAGAGGAAAGAAACTAATCCAGCTGGTATCTCAAAGTATGGAGGGGATGAGGAACTGAGTGGAAAATAATGTTCTCAAACAGAAAACACTTAAAATTACAGCTGCTTCCATGGGTCAGTTTCATTTTCTTTAATGTAGAACCAGATGTATGTGGTGGGAAGATTGCCAGGTCATTTTTTCAAAGCTAGCATTCCACATTACTGGTATGAAATAAAGATGCTTTCATGGATGTTTTCATCAGTACATTAGGTCTGCAGAAAAGCGTTTTGATTGTAGCAAATCTTGAAGGGTCCTGAATTGCTACAAACTCCTCAGTGGGAAAAAACACCTTGAAATTCTTTAGCTTTTTCAAGGGCACAGGAAGGTGTATGAGACCTGATCCATTTCCCTGTGAGATTAACGGGAGGCCCCTTATAGATTTAGTTGGGATTGAGGGCAGTAATAAAGATATCTGGCTCACAACTCTGTACTCAAACGGGCTCTAGTAAAACATGTTTTTAAAATCAAGTTCTTGTGCTGATCATCTGGGAACACATCAGGAGTGGTATCTCCGTCTGTTCTTGGAATATTATCAATATCAGAATGATAAAACCATTCTTTTTTGTAGAAAACCAGCGGAGCTATCTGAGGCACACACAATCACAGGATGGCCCTGGTTGGAAGGGACCTGAAGGATCATGAGTCTCCAACCCTCCCACCACAGGCAAGGCTACTGGCTTCCACATTTAATACTAGACCAGGCTGCCCAGGGCCCCATCCAACATGCCCTTGAGCACCTCCAGGGATGGGGCATCCACAACCTCTCTGAGCAGCCTGTTCCAGCACCTCACCAGCCTCTTCATAAAGAACTTCCCCCTGATATCCAACCTAAATCTTCCCTCCTTCAACTTAAAGCCATTTCCCATTGCCCTGCTATTATCTACCCTTTCAAAGAGTTGACTCTTTGTAGGCTCTGCAAAAAGTGTAGTGACTTAAAGCTGGGTGGTTCAATAAAGTTCTGATAATTTCTTGTAAATCTACAGGATTTATTCAGGTGAGCCAATGGAGAAAAGATGAGGTTCAAGTATTCCTAATTTTCCATCAATACAAAGAAACAGTTGGATTTCCTGAGCTGTCAGCCCTTTCCTCTGATTTGTGTCCTTCTCTGCAGTGAAGAAGTTCAGGGTGCAGTTGGCATCTCCATTCTTTCAGGCATAGAAAGAAAGAACACCGTTTATATACAGAAAATTGGTTAACTATCTTATTTTGAAGTAGCAACATGTTTGGATGTAGCTTTGGAGAGAGTGTTTGAAGCTGTAGTGTTTGGCTACTGGACCGGTTCCTGCAGTAGTGTAACATGAAATAATAGAGAGGTTTCCCTGATTTATGAGGGATTGCCCCATATCCATGATGAGAATCAGGGAATCATAATCAAGAAAAAAGCATAAGAAAATGTTCCCTTCCATCATTTTCCTCCTTATTAAATGAAAAGATTTTGAAAGAAGAATAAATCTGTCTCTGACCTCTGCATTTCTGGGTTTTATCTCTCCAGATTTGTAACATATGTATGGGATAAATATTACATATTCTGATTTCAACTGCAGTCATGTCTTTTTGGTCACAATATAGTGTAATAGTAACACTGATGTCCCCATGACAGAATGCAATCAGATCAGCTAAAAATTAGTCTCTATTTTTTATCTGTGTAGTATAAAACAAGAAAAAGAGAATGTTTATATTCGTGGGAAAGCATAAGTTTTTGAGAGAGAACATTTGTATTTATTTATATAAAGGAATATACATATTTAAATAAACAAATCATGGGATAAGTAGAAGGAAGAAAATACCAACAGGAAACAGAGCAAATGAGTTCTAAACTCTAAGCATAGGAAAAATAAATAACACAAGTGAATGTTGCAGTAAAGCCCTGTTTTATAAGCAATTGTGACCTGTTTGAGTGAGAAATGAGATAGGCTGCCAAAAGCGTATCTTATCCATCTGTCCAGTTTAGAATATTAGTTGGGCTGGTTACTTGGACAGTTATCAGCCCAATCCTATTAATACTTACCCGTATTAATAGCCTTGCTCCTAAGTGT